ACACACACACACACACACACACACACACACGCTTGAATAATCAGAGTGATTGTGTTTTGCAGTGAGCGTCAGCACACGGCTCTATAGTAAATGAGCTGAAGTTCCACAGGCTGACCTTTCTGTCCGCCGCTGAAGTCCTGCACGCTTTCATACGCCATAATTACTGAGACACGCCGAGCAGATATAATGATGCACACACACACACACACACACACATCTGAACACACACACACACACGCACGCACGCACGCACGCACGCACACACACACACACACACACACACACACACACACACACACACACACACACACACACACACACACACACACACACACACACACACACACACACACTCATGTCAGATCACAACACTGATGACACTAAAGAACAACAGTCCTCAAAGCAGGAGCTGCTGACATCCTACCAACAGCATAGCAACCATTTACAACACCTTAGCAACAGGCTGGAGATTACAGGAGGGGGATAACATCATAATAATGAGAGCGGCAATACATTTCCCTCAACACACACTCAATGAAAGCTCAATACAGCGTGTGTGTGTGTGTGTGTGTGTGTGTGTGTGTGTGTGTGTGTGTGTGTGTGTGTGTGTGTGTGTGTGTGTGTGTGTGTGTGTGTGTGTGTGTGTGTGTGTGTGTGTGCGTGTGTTGCAGTGGAGGTAAATGGGCATACAGTTATATAACACTGGACATGATTAGAGCTTGAACATCTGATGTCTGTAGCAGTGTGTGAGGATATCCATCATCTAGAGTCTCCAACACAGAGACACAGTCCACCTGTAGCAGGTATAAGCCTGATATGATCATCTACAGTCTGCAGCTCGTCTCCTCAGTTATCATCAAACCTGATGACCAATCAAACGCGCTCTAGTGTCTGACATGCCCCGCCCCCTTCAGACTCTACTGCTATATGAGCTCAACCACTCTCACCGGCAGAGGTACGAGAAAAACCTACAGAACAACTTACCAACAACCTAGCAACCAAACAGGAAACTGACAGCCTAGCAACCATTTAAACCAGTTACCCAACAACCACACAATATAACAACAGCCTAGCAACCATTTAAACCAGTTACCCAACAACCACACAATATAACAACAACCTAGCAACCATTTAAACCAGTTACCCAACAACCACACAACATAACAACAGCCTAGCAACCATTTAAACCAGTTACCCAACAACCACACAATATAACAACAGCCTAGCAACCATTTAAACTAGTTACCCTACAACCACACAACATAACAACAGCCTAGCAACCATTTAAACCAGTTACCCAACAACCACACAATATAACAACAACCTAGCAACCATTTAAACTAGTTACCCTACAACCACACAACATAACAACAGCCTAGCAACCATTTAAACCAGTTACCCTACAAGCACACAACATAACAACAGCCTAGCAACCATTTAAACCAGTTACCCAACAACCACACAATATAACAACAGCCTAGCAACCATTTAAACCAGTTACCCAACAACCACACAATATAACAACAGCCTAGCAACCATTTAAACCAGTTACCCAACAACCACACAATATAACAACAGCCTAGCAACCATTTAAACCAGTTACCCAACAACCACACAACATAACAACAGCCTAGCAACCATTAAAACCAGTTACCCAACAACCACACAATATAACAACAGCCTAGCAACCATTTAGTACATCTCACTATCTGTCTAGTGACAATATATTACAGTAACATGCAGCCTAGCAACTATTTACAACATCTTACCATCTGCCTAGTAACCATACATGATTGTAACAGCCTAGCAACCATTTATAACATCTAACCAACTGCCTAGCAACCATTTAAAACATCTTACTAACCACCTAGCAACCATTTACAACATCTAACCAACTGCCTAGAATACATTTAAAACATCTTACTAACCACCTAGCAACCATTTACAACATTTAACTAACTGCCTAGCAACCATTTAGCCTCTTACCATCTGCCTAGCAACCATTTAGACCATCTTACGATGTCTAGCAACCATAAATTATAGTAACAGCCTAGCAACCATTTACAACATCTTACTAACCACCTAGCAACCCAACATCTAACTAACTGCCTAGCAAACGTTTAGACTCTTACCATCTGCCTAGCAACCATTTAGACCATCTTACTATCTGTCTAGCAACCATATATTATAGTAACAGCCTAGCAACCATTTACAACATCTTACTAACCACCTAGCAACCATTTACAACATCTAACCAACTGCCTAGCAACCATTTAAAACATCTTACTAACCACCTAGCAACCCAACATCTAACTAACTGCCTAGCAAACGTTTAGACTCTTACCATCTGCCTAGCAACCATTTAGACCATCTTACTATCTGTCTAGCAACCATATATTATAGTAACAGCCTAGCAACCATTTACAACATCTTACTAACCAGCTAGCAACCATTTACAACATCTAACCAACTGTCTGGCAACCATTAAAAACATCTTACT